CTATGGCATCAGCTGGTTTCGTGCGCATGTATGCGTGCGTGTGTATGTCACTGTGTATGTGTGTGTGTGTGTGTGTGTGTGTGTGTGTGTGTGTGTGTGTGTTTGTGTGTATGTGGGTCTGTGTGTGCCTACGTACGTGCGTTCCTTCGTTCGTGCGTGCGTGCGTATGAGTTGCAACGACACTGCGATCCATGTAGTGCTTGGGGCAATTTATTACAGCTTGGTCTGTCGTGTTTCTCGCTCTGCGGCAGGCGCCACGCCTCGTACAACTGCGCATCGAGGTGACATTTTAATACGCGTAGCTAGAGATTACCGAAGCGCGAGTGACTCCTGAATGACAGGACGCGAACCACGGAGGATAAAGTCTGAAGGGGAGGATGAGGAGCAAGCGAACTCTGAGGCGGGATGAGGCGGAAGAGAAGAAGCGGAGAACGAGGGGGAGGAGGAGAAGGGGGAGGTGGACTCTAAAGGAGATGGGAGGAGAGGAACCGTGAATGATGAAATCTGAGGGGGGAGGGGAAGAGGAGCTAGATGTGAACTCTGAGAGGGAGGCGATGTGAACACTGAATGGGTGGGCGGGAGGAACGATAAGAGAAAAAAAAAGAGGAGGAACGCCTAGGGAAGAGGGAGCGAATAAGTAACCGCTGAGTGCCGTAGAAGTTGAACATAGAGGGGTGAAGAAAGAGAAACCTTAATAGGGGAGACGGGGAGAAAATTCTGTAGAACTCTAAAGGTGGTAGAAAGGTGGTAGAAAGGAGGAACTCTAAAGAGCAGGGCGATGAGGAAGGAAAGGAGCTCGCGGAGGGGGATAACTCTACGGTAACCACGGCTTCGTCACCCACGAAGATGCGTTAGATGTAGAAATATTCCCGGTCACCTTATTCTTGGTCCTTGATCCTTGACCGAATGTACTAGAATACAACGCAGTACATAATATATACATGTACATATGGTACAGTTCATTAAATAGGTGTTATTCTCAGCACATAGAGACGGCTACTTCTTCTAGAGTACGATAATACTCTGCAGGGACACACATCTCTGTACAAAGTTAGCTACTACTGCCAGAGTACGATAATACACTGCAATGTCGCACGGCTTTGTACATTGATTCAGCTACTATTACCAGAGTACGACAATACTGTGCATGGACGTACGTCTCCCCACTTAGATAACCCTCAAACAACTATAGAATAGTGAAATAGAATATTGCATTGACCCATCGTTTTACCGAATGGGACGTAGCATTGGCATTGCGTAGATATTACAAAGCTATGCTGGCAGCTGCTGTTTCTCTCATCAGCTATTCACATGTATGGCTTCACATGCGTGACGCGTGTGCGAGCACATCGGCTGCGAGCGCCATCTGTGCGCGCACTGCCTCACTAATCTGTTTCGTCCGCAAACATCGCATTTTCTCACTCGCATAGCGCTCTCACTCTCTCTTCACTCACTCTCTCTTGCTCCCTCATCGTATACCATCTCTTCATGCACTCACCTCATCATATCGCTACCACTGACTATATCTTACCACTCACTATATCTTACCGCCTCCCTCTCTCCCCCTCATTCTCTCTCTCTCTCTCTCTCTCTCTCTCTCTCTCTCTCTGTCTATATATAGTATATTATAATATATTAATATATATATATATCAATACTATACTATAATATATAGCCTCTTCCTTCTCTGTATGTATACGCATATCCGTGTGCTCATCCCTCTCTTGCTCTGTGTTTTGCAGTGCACGTACGTCTCTTGCCTGCAGAACAAGATCGACTTGTACACGGCGAGGCACGGCGCCATCGGAGCCGTCGGCGACTGCTACTTCAACCCCAAGGACAGCTCGCAGGTGCTGCGTCGCCGGCGCTTCACACAGAGGGCGCTGCTACACTCGCTGCTCTGGCCGGCGGCGCTCGTCATCCTCGGCGTCGCGCTGACGCTCGTGCTGCTGCGCGTCGCAAAGTTCGGCGCGTCGCGTACGGGCAGCGACGACGACTGCAGCTATAGACCGACGACGCTGTTTGAACAGCCGACGGCAGAGCAGCGCGAGATGGCGCTGAACCTCGCGCAGACAAACATAGCGTGACGAGAGCGAGCAACTAGCGCCAGAGGGCACTGCTCGAGATTAAATTCACTTGCCGTAAATAGGAAATGATGAAAGTGGCTGGACAATGGTGAATGTGGCTGAACAATGGTAAAGGTGGTTGGACAATGGTGAAGGTGGCTGGACAATGGTGAATGTGGCTGGACAATGGTGAAGGTGGCTGGACAATGGGGAAGATAGCTAGACAATGGTGAAGGTGGTTAGACAATGGTGAAGGTGGCTGGACAATGGTGAAGGTGGCTGGA